TTTTTTTTCAATAATTGATAACTAATACTTGAAGTATGTGAGTACATGTATTTTCCACATGGCTATAAACATCCTCTACACAGCTGCTAGGGAACAGTCATATTTGGAATTCTTTATTTCCCTTTGGGCTGAATAATATACATTCAGATTAGTCAATCCCACTGTGATACAATTAACTTTGCATTTCACAATCACTTCACACTGGATTACATGATCAAGTCACGTGACAGACATGTCTGTTCCAGGATTGATACATAACATCCTAATTATATTCTTCCAGACATAAAGCCCTGATACATAAGAAATAAATCCCATGCCCCAACCTGATTCTTTTTCAAGTAAGCTAGTTTATGTTGTCACCCTACAGCTTGAGAAATGACACAATAGGTTTCCCATGCTGTGAGAGTGCAGGAACCTAGTGGGGCTGATGCCTCCAGAACAGTTACTGCAACTCACACTGACGCTGTTTAGAAGTCACATTTCCTTCTTTTAATGGTAACAGGGACTAATGCAAATCTAAAGCTAAGTGGCTTAAAGTAAACTTACAAAAAGTAGGGGGGACACCTGAGCACATCTTAGACAGGTGGGTGCTTCAGCTCCATGGAAATGCAGAGTCTTCGGGTCAGCCCAGGGGATGCTCTAGTCATTACAGCAATCCTTCCTGAAAATCTGATTTCCCAATTCTAGGTTGGGAGACATGGGGGTCAAGGAGGAGGGCAGTAAGTTGCCTTTTTTTTTTCTTTGACTCAGCCTCTTCACATAGCCTAGAACTATTAGGAACCTTTGTCCCATCTGGGCTGCTGCTTTCTAGGGAAATCCCCAGCATCTTCTCTTATTCTCCAGGAGATAAATGTTCTTGTTTATGGATTTTTTTTCATTTTCAACATATGCACATATGCAGCTCTTTCTCCCTCTCCCCCAACTTGCCCTATCAGCACTCTGAAACGTGATATCCACTGCATGCATGTACCACTTAAGATGTGACCTGACAAAGCAATCCAGCAAAAAGTTAGTGCACAGCGATTTTTCCTGTCATTTCTCTGGGCAGTGCGGTCATGTTGTACCACAGCCGCTCAAGTAAAGGCTACATCTTTCACATGAACTATAGACTCCCCTCTTTGGAAGGTCTGTAGTCATTGCTTCAAAACCCTTTTATCCTTCTTAAACTAAAATAAGATGAAGACAAACTTAATCTTCATTTCATCCATTTTCCCAGTTTGTAAAAATATTTTTGAAACACAAATCTATTATCTAAACATGCAACTAGCTGTTGCCAGTATTTTGTCATCTACAGATATGCAAAGAGAGCTTCTTCGGGGAAAGAAAGCAGTGAAAAGCCTTCTGCAAGTAATTCTAAAATACATTAAGATGTGATGGTTTAGATGTATCATGAAGAAAACAATCAATCTATACCTAACATTGTGTTCAGTGACTCCCATAGTGACAGGGTCGCTTTGGAGGATGTTAAGGTTAACATTACCATATTACCATTGACATTGGCTCTTGCTTAATTCATCCCCAATAATGGAAAAACTTCTGAGTAATAATTAATAGAACAAAAACCAGAAGCTTTAACAGCTGCAACTTCTCCAGACCCCATATTTTGGCTACAGATAAAAGCATTTTCTTCTTTGTATTTTATATGCATTCATTAACAAAAAGCCCCATATTTAAAGTTCATTGCTTCCTTACAGAAGCATCATGGAAATATACCACATGGGATATTGACTACATGTAAATTCTAAGGAAGAATAGCATGCATTTCTTTAAAACATAGCATGCACATGTCTGGAGCTTATATAAACAATAATTTGTTATTTCGTACAAAACTGTTCATTCCCATACACATAAAATCCAAGTAATTATCTGATATGCTCTCGTGAAAGTAGCACCAAATGTGATTTCTTAAAAAAAATTTGGTAAGTCAATATTTCAGTAACTCCCAAATGGTTTCAGAGACATAGGAATTTCACATGAGATAGTGATACTTTAAAAAAATTTTTTTTCCATTTATAACCTAATACAGTTAGTTGACTATTGTTAAAATGTTTAGAAAAATCATTTAAAAGAAGTCAAACTGACGTATTTTCCTTCACCTGTGGAAAGTTATATTTGATATAGAAAACAAAGCTGAATGCGTCCATTGTTGACCCATTGTTGTTGCCAAGTTTCTTATGTTCAGAATAATTCACAATCTAAGATTTCCCATAACATGGACCTAGGAAAATATATCTGCATGTTATTGCAGAGTTATTCTGGTTGGGTCTAGAAGTTGCCATTCACTTTTTCACGTGGACAGTGCTTTTCTAGGTCAAAAACTTCTGAATTCCTATCACACCTAAGACTAAAGTTTTACCTAGCTATGTGCGAGATTAAGACCTGATTTTCTTATTTATTTAGAGAAAGATTTCATTCACCATCAATCATTCCTAACATTATACTTCCCTAAGTCCATGCTTTTTACTTCCTCTTGGAAGGGAAGAAAAAGCAAGCATCTTTACAAGGTTATTTTCCTAACTTCTGTATTTACGTTCTCATCAAAATACAGTGCAGATGTAGGATTGAGGGAAGCAAGCCTTCTAGTCTGGACCTGAGGATGGGTTTCTCTCTGGGCCACTTCTTCTCTAGCTCTGAAATCAAGTTCTCTAATCTCCTTACCAGGAATTTTCCTTCCTTATACAACGCTGCAGCTGCAGCAGGGAGGGCTGTCCAAGCCCCGGCTAGCGCGTCGCTCTGAAAGCAACAGGTATCCTGGGAGGGTAAACAAACACGCCAATAGCGGGATGCAGGTCCCTAGCTCCCAGCCAAGGGTCAAAAGCAGCCTCCGTCTTAGGGCATCCTCCTAGGTCTCAGCCCGGAGGGCGCCGTCAAACTGTAGTCGTGGGCTCCCACACCCCCTCTCAGTGAACCCCAAAACCGCCCTGAGAGGACCCTGTGACCAGAAGAACTGACCGCAGGCCCACCTTTCAGGGGCTTGGAAGGGTCTGCAGGAAGTCATCCCAATATAGCCACCTGGGCACAAGCGTGACTCTCACCTGTTCGCACTCTCCAGGCCGGGAGAGCCGCGGTCCCCTTCAAGTTCGGAATCGCTCCCGGGGGTCGGCGCAGCCCTTGCACGCGGCGCTGCGAAGCTGGCGGGTGGCGTTTCCGAGTTTGCAGGCTGTGATCGCGGGTGGGAGCGGCCGCAGCAAGTGCGGGCGGGGGTGGGGGTGTCCTCGCTGGCGCTCGCTCCGACTAGCGGCGGAGGGACTGCGGCAGGACGCGAGCTCTGCCCGCCGGGCCCTGGCTCTGCCACAGGATGCTGCAGTGCGGCGCTGCGGCGCCCCCTACCGGGCCCAGACCCGGTTCCTCCGGTCCCGCCATGCTGCCTCCAGGGCTGGAAAGACTGCAACCTCCCCCTTCAGCTGTATCCCCAAACAGTGCGTCCCTTCTTCATAGGTGCTGGGCCTCTAGGTCCTGGCCACAGGACATCTGTCCTTGGCTTAAAGTGTTGCGTGTGAAAGCATCACTACGTGGTGTTTACTATTCCATACTTCAGGTGATCTTCACAAAGTCCCTTTGAGGAACAGTTCATTATCCCTGATACCCAAGGGGAAACCGGAGAAAGGGATAAAGAACTTACCCAAGGCCTAGTACATAGTTGGAATGAAATCCTGGCCAGATTAGAGGCTGAGACATGCTACAAGAGCCATAAATAATGAATTCAATTGAAATGCGTATCTATATTTGAGAAAGTCCCAAACGCTGCACGTTCTCCTCACTTGATCAACGTGTTTCACACATTGTAAACACGTTGTATAACACGAAGTCATGCCCAGTCGCCCTCAAAATCAAACATAGAAGACTCATCTTCACACTGGACAAGACCTGCTTTCCCCTCTCTCATGTCAGCTGCGGTATTGTCATTATTAGCCTTTCATAAATGAGGAGGTGAGTGGAGAGCCTCAGTGGTTTCCCTAAACCGAAACTTCTGATCAAAGGAGCAGGGGAACACCAAGACAATTTCTTTCCCTTCAGAGTCTGTGCCTTCTTTCCAAGGTACCAGGTGGCCTCCAGAAAACCTCTGTGATCTGAAGGAGAGGGGCTTAGGGCTTCATGAGGAATCTGCTCTATGTCCCTGATGGAAGATGCAGCCAGGGAGTCAGCCCCCAGGCCAGGACGTACCTGGAAAGCCACTGGGTGGGCCAGGCTTAATGGAGTCAGCTGCACCCAGCAGAGGTAGGAATTTCCTGGTTGCTGAGTTTTTGAAAAAACAGTGTATCCCCTCCAACTCCCTTATCACAAATCTATCTTCGCTCCCCAACATGTACCTAAACTGGCGAAGCTGACCCACAGCACCCCATGATCAGTCATCCTGTTTGTGTTGTACTCGTGTTCATTTCTCTGTCTTCATAACCTTGCATTTTCTGAATAGAGGGGTGTAGTCCCTGTCTCCACCCCAGCACTGCACATGATGGGTATTTGAAAAATAGTTATTGAGTGAAGGAACACAAACAGGGAGGATTATGTTTGGCTTTCTTACATGGTGTGTGGGGGATAGAATAGCCAGTAAGAAGTTAAACGTGTAGTCTGGGGTTCAGGAAAGAGACCTTCTCCCAGCCAGCAGGAATCTTTGAATTGCTCAGGAATTTTGTGCATAGTGGTGTTTGGGTCGTAACCTTCTTTCACGATAAAATCCTATATTCATGAAAGAACTTAATATATGCATGTCTCACAGAAATTTAAGTTGAAGCACCCACTTTGCCTCCCTCTTTCATGAAAATAGTGCAGAGGACTCTAGCCAGGTCCCTTATGTTTTGGTTCTTTGAGATCTTCTCTGTGGAACCTATTTCTCTCCATTTCCCACATCACCCACCCATGGAGACTGGCATTCCTCTCTCATCTAGGGACACATTTGCACACACACCTGCAGATCTTGACATGGTGCCCCAGGTGATAAAACGAGCTGTATTGGAACCGTATGCTATAGCATCAGCACCTACCCTGTCAATGGGAGTCCTTTCTTTGTCTAAAAAGCAGCAAAAAATAATCATTGCTCCCTGCTTCATGGATCACTAAGAACAGCAGAGGAGGCCTATTACTTACAGCTCCTCAGTAGGTTCATACTGGGTAGAAATTCTCCTGGCGTGAGGTCTTGTTACACTCCTACCTCTTAGCCTGGCTTCAGCCTTAACCTAAGACATTTAACACAAAACTAGCAGATGAAAAGTGAGTTCAACCCTCACTCACTGGAATTGTGTGTGTATGTTGTTTTATGGAGTGTGTGTGTGTGTTCACATGTGTGTAGATGATAAGCATATTCATTGTAAGTAATTTGTCATTGATAAAATATAAAGATATAGAAAATCACCCCCAAATCACACTCCCCAGAAATAACCAGTTACCATATGAGCATTATTCCATCTATGTAGAGCACAGAATAAACTGTTAGGTACATGAAATAGCATTTACATATACTAAGTTTCATTAGCATATTTTTAATAAATAAATGCTATTTTAGTAAAAAAAAAAATACTCTTGAAACTTAAAAGATGGCAGAACTGTAGAGGTTTAGTTACCTCTTGAGCTATTTTATCCTAAAAATTCCTGAATAGTTAAACTATTTCATAAGCTCAAACCTGACTTCATTATATTTAACACTGTATTTGATTACATTTATATTTATGTGGTTATGTGTATATTTACATTGTTTATATTTAACCATATGTAGTTTTTTTTTAAAGATTTATTTATTTATTCATACAGAACTGGGGTACAGGCCAGAGATGCAGAGGGTGAAAGGATTCACCAGAGACAGAGTGGGGAGCAGAACAGGCAGATCGACGAAGTACACTGCTGAGGGGAGCAGCCAGGAGAGGTCTGCCGCGCCATGTGGATCTCTTCCAGGGCAGGCGGGGATCGAACTCATGAGGCAGTGACTTAAGCTTCTTTTTTTTTTTTTTAAATATTTATTTATTTGTACATACAGAACTGGGGTACAGGCCAGAGGCTCAGGGGCGGTGAGAGGCTTCACCAGAGACAGAGTGGGGAGCAGAACAGGCAGATCGACAAAGTACATGCTGAGGGGAGCAGCAGGCGGGTCAGGAGAGGTCCACGTGGTCACCTCTGGGGCAGGCGGGAATCAAACTCATGCAGAAGTGGCTTTAGCTTCTCAGTGCTGTGCTTTAACTCGCTGCGCCACCAGGGAGGGCCCAACCATATGTAGTTTTTGTTGACATCAATTGACTTGTTACTTAACAAGAAGGATATCATTCCTCTCACTTCCTTTCCCTCCTATATTTTTACTTCTGTATTCCCTTCTCATTGTCAAAATTAGAACATTTGTGTTTGTTCTGTAACTCTCATTCTCAAGGTGCTTTCAGCTAAGTGATATAATTAAATGGAATGGATTCACTTGATGAGTTATTTTACCATAGCTTTGTATTATCCTTTATTTTGATTAAGCCCTTCTTTTTTTTTTATTAACTTATATTTTCAGTAAGGCCTTTGGTGTTGTGTAATTGGAAATACCTAGCTCCTCCTTCAGCTGTTTTTATTTCCTCATTACCAGACTTTGACTCCTTCTTTCCTTTTCCGCATTACTTATTCTGTGTTTAGTATGTTGGTTTTTATACAATATTTTCTGTGGTACAGAGTGAATGAAATCTAGTTGGTTCTGATCTATACCTGACCTGACATCTGTTGTTTTCTCGGTGGAGCAATGGTTTACAGATAGAACATTTCACTTTTTCTACTATCCTGACATGAGATCATAAAGAAAAGAGAAAATGTCCTTAGAGTCTCTGTGAAGCCTCCATTAAATGTTACATATTCTGCTTTTCTTCTTAAGTCTAACCCAGTCCTTTAGCATGACTGAGTGTGTGTATCTGGGTTATTTATTCCCCATTCCAAAGAAAAGATTTCCTCACGCTTGAGATGGCACTCTCATTCATACTTGGAATCCTCCCCTACTCTGTCCCCTGAGTCACTTCCATTCTGATTACTCACACTATCAGCGGTAACTCCATGTTTGGAAGTATTCATTATTGGTGAGGAGGAATACACAGATCTTTTGGCTCATCAGTATTGCTTCTTTTATTCCCTTGGAAAATTCATTTGGAAGTTTTATGGTAAGAAAATCATATTTCTTCCCTTGTTTTGCTGGTGTTAATAGTCATTTTTTGATTTGAGAGGGCATTTTATTGTTACATTTGTTTACTTGGTTTTCTGTTAGGCAAAAGAAAAATTGATTTTGGTTATGATAGGACTTTTTCTTTGACTGAACAAATATAAAACCTATCCCTAAATATATACAACATTGGAACCACTCGGAAAGCAATCAGTGCAGGGACACAATTCCAGACAGAGCTCAGCCCCACATTTACTCAAGTTTTCTCCTTGGGGCCATTTTCAGTTCATGAGTCAGAAAAGTATAGTTCTGGCAATAGGAAAAGATTAGAGTTTAGGGCTGTGAATTGCAAGTGGGTTCAGAAGGTTAGAGTATCAGAGGGAATAGATAGACTCTCCATGTGTTTGCTTGGAAATGTCCCTGGGACCTTGGCCATTTCCGGGCTACATGTCGTCTCTGAGAATCCTAGTAAAAGAGCAGCTGCCTGAGGTCAGGAGGCGAGGTGGGTGTTTAAGTGATCTCAGAGTTTGTGGAAGAACACTGGAGTTGACCCTAACCCTGGTTTAGAGAACTTTGTGAACATTCTGGGCAACTCTTGTAAAATAGCAACTTCAAATAGGGTAAAATTTTGTAAAAATAAAGGCTGTGCCATAGCCAAGCTATGGAAACAACCTAAATGCTCAAATACAGAAGTGTGGGCCAGGAAGATGTAGATACACAGAATAGGATTCTAGTCACTGATCAAAAAAAAGGTAAACTCATGTCATTTTTGGCACTATGGATGGAGATGGAAGGAATGATATGACTGAAATAAGTCAGAAGGAGAAAGGCAAATACTGTCACTTATATGTAGAATATAGTGAATATAACTAAACAGTCAGAAGCAGCCAAACTAAAAATGAACCCTAGAAAGCTGACTAAAACTGAGAATAACAAAGAGAGAGAGAAGGGTGAGTGCAAAGTGGAGGGGGTGTGATGGATGATAGTAGTGTCTTGGTGATGGGTGCAGTATGGTACCCCTTAGGGGGGAGACCCATATTCCTGAAACATAAACAGTGATGTAAACCAATGGTATTTCAATTAAAAAAAAAAGAGTATTGAGCAAAAAAGCCACAAGATTTAAAGTG